TTATCGCAGTATCAGACCATTTCCTATGCTGGAATATTGTGATCCTTACGACATCCCTGCAGCAGGACATGGAGACCTCAAGCACCAGGAGCAGAGTGAGTGCCCCATCCCTTGAGGTGCCCAAGGCCAGGTTGGGTGGGGCCCTGGGCAGCCTGCGCTGGTGGGGGGCAACCAGCCCATGGCAGGGGTTTGAATTAAATGATCTTTAAGGTCCCCTCCAACCTTGGCCATCCTGTGATCAGATCCTGTGTTGCAGATTTTGGAGTACTATGGGATCTGCACAAACTTCTGCTCAGAAGCAGGATGGCCCAGGACAGCATTTTCTTGTCTTTTCCTGCATGCAGGAGGCATGGAGATGAGGGAGGTCCTCTGGGTCAAGCAATGAGAAAGAGGTGTAATAATCAGCTCCCAAAAATGCAGATTAACACACAAGGTTAGCACAACAAAAACATGCTTTCTTCTATCAGTTCTGTTCAGTATTTAAACTGAGATACTTAGTTCCCATGGGGAATATTGTACTAGAATAGAAAAAGGCATAGCATGTAGCTATTACTGGGGCAGTGACTGTAATGAGCATGGAAAATGGAACAATATATAACCCATTCTTAATAGACTCTTGGGAGGGTTATCCTTTGCTTCTGCTCAGATTCCATACCCAGACTCTTCTTATTTTTTTAATTGGTAATACTTTTATTTTTTTTCTTTCTTCCCCTCTGGAGAGCCCACGTCCATTTGTATTGCTCCATAAACATTAATGGCATTTCCCAAAGATGAATTATCTCCCTGCCTGTACCAGAGCATGGTGTAAATGAAGCATCCTATCTTCTCCCTTTTAAAGCAGCTGTTTGACCAGAGCTTCTGCCCTTTCCAGACCACTGTGGGAGACCAAATCCTCCAACTGCCTCCAGTAGGGATGACCTGGTTCTTGTGTGAGCTTCTTGTACCATCACAATGATTAGCACTGCTGAACTGAGCCATGGAGACATGGTGACCTACATATCTTTTGTGAAAGACAAGGTGCCCAGGGTCCATGAGGGCAACAGGCTGGGAAAGCATCCAGCTTTCAGTGCGTGCAATTAGTTATTTAGTATTGGAAAGCTCTGTCCTGAAATGGTGATTACTTTGCTTTTATTTTGTGGCCATGAAGATTTGAGCAGGTTTGAGGTGCTTAAACAAGACGTTAAAAATGTTATGATCTGGCCTGTGGGATTTTACTGTCCTTAATCAAGGTGTATAAGAAGAGCATGGCAAAACTTGTTGATGCCATGATAATTCTTTAGCATTACTCCATGCTGGTGAGGAGGATGTAAACTTTGCTGCTTTGCCATTTTTGAAATGGCCTTCCATCACCTTGAAGGTAGAAACACAGGCTGTGGGAGACGAAGATGTGAATGCCATGGAAACCACTCTGCTTCACTGAGGAACTATTGTGGTGTTTTATTTGATTTTGCTTCTAGGTACTTGCAGTGGGTCATCCCACAGCAGCAACTAAACATCTTGTTCTATGTTGAGAGGAATCTGGCCATGCAGACGTTCACTTTTGACATTCCTCATTGTCTTTGTTTTCTTGATTCAAGGTGACATACAGACTGAGCCCTACTACCTGTGTTACAATGGTTGGAAGCCCAAGGCTCTGTTTTGGTACCAAGTCCTTCTATCGTTGATGTCCGCATATTAAAGGTAATATCTTTTAGTGCATGCTCATAGGAAAGTTTGATTTTGTTTGCTACAACTGATGATAGCCCTGCGCCTTTGTTTTTAGGTGCTGAAGTCCTCATAAAGACAGTTTTTAAATGTCTGCCACACATCCATGTCTCAGTTTTGCTGGCATGAAACCAGGAAAGACGGCACATTTTGTTTCCTGTTACCTGCAATCAGTGCAGGGAGCTCACACTGCTGCTCACTTCAGCTTTGCTGAGATGTGGATGTTTTGTCTTTTAGGGGAGTCCATGCTTATGGTGCACGATCAGTGCAGTTTAAGGGTGTAAAGGTGCAAATTGAGGCCTGTGACAGCTTGAAGGATTGTGTGGGCTCCAGCAGCCAGACCCAGTCTGAGCACACACAAAAAAATAGTATTGATAGACAACTTTCATAAGTTGCTTTGTCGAGTGTCAGCTTCATTTCACAGCACGTTGTCACATGCCTTGCTGACACTTGTGGCATGCCTTGCTGGCACAGTGTGCCATGTCTTTTGTGCTGGTGTCTTTTTCTGCATTTCTTTCCCACTAAATCCCTGTCATCAGGCTTTGCTCTTGTATAGGTGAGAGGATCCTTGTTGCATAGCGTATACTGGCAGAGCAGTGCAGCCAGCACTGTCAAGGATGGAGCATATGAACCCTTTAAATGTAATGATATTTCTGTGCTATGGAGTGCTTTCTGCTGCTGGACAGAATATCCAAGTTCTTCCGTTCAGTCCGAAATTGTGGCAGAACGTGTTACTCTGAGAGCAAAGACATAGCAGAGTTAACAGTTGCTGGAGGCCAGGTGAGATGAACAATAGCTTACTTAAACAATTTACATTTGTTGGTCATTTTGTGAACTAGATGTTCTCCCAGTGGCATGCTACCAGAGCTGGGAAGGGAAACTGTCCTCCTAGTACCACACATAGGCAAGGACTGTAGCTGCTAGCATGTTAAACTGAGTCTTTGAGCTCTGTAAATGCTTGTGGTGTGTGTGGATAGAGAAAGAAAAAAAGAAATGTCACTCATCAGGACTTTGACACTGTCAAATAACAGTGGGAAACAGAGAAGAGAGTGTAAGAGCCTCAAAGCAGGAAAGTCTCTATAAAGTCTTTCCTGATGGGTAACCAACCCACAGCACTTCACTGAGAGAGGGGCAGGGAGTTTAAATCAAACACACATGGAGACCTTTGTACCAACGAGCTGAAAGACTTCCTGGACTTTCTCAGGTGTGTGATGAATTTTGGGGCACGTGGAGCTGGCTGTGTAACCCCAGTTTTTTTGGGGCTGTCCTAATGTCCCACCGTGAGCTGATTTTCTCCATCTGCCACACAGGTTAGGAGGTGTACAGTGTTTCCTAAGGTGTGTGAGAGACTTTTGTTGTGCCTCATGCCACCATAAGTGACTGATGGTTTGCTAAGGCCAAGTAGGCAGCAAGGAAAGCTAGTACTTAGAGCACATGGCAGAAGAGCTGCTCTCTGTTCACTCTGAGGTAATGTAAACCCTGGTTATGAGCTGCACTAATTAGTTCTTGTTATGGGCCAGCACAGTGAGTGTCACATGAGGTGATTAGCTCAAACACAATGGATTGAAGCAGATTCTTTTGACGTATTGATCTGAGCATGGCATTTCCAGGGGCTCACTCTAGCAGTGACAATGAAATGAAAATTTGGCAAATGAAAATTAGTACTGGATAAAGGCCCAGGGTGAGACACACAGTAGAAAAATGAGCACTTAGTCCCTTAGTCCCACTGGATCTGCTGTTGCTCACAGCCCACAGATCCTGCTGTGCTCCATGAAGTGTGACCTCCAGGGCTGGGGCAGGAAGGTCCAAATTGTGACCTGGGCATTGGTGGCTTGGTTAGGTCATGGAACTGCTAGCTCTGCATGATGGTCTTTAGGCTCCATGTCTTTGGATGTCCACTACGTGTGAGTAAACAGCCAAACCCAACCCACCACTGCCTAAATTTGGGAGATCCCTGTAGTGTGGGATGAAGCTGAAATGTAGGCCATGAGTTGTATCAGATAAGGCTGGGCTTTGGCTCACTACACATCTGTTTGTGACTTTGCCCTAGCTCTGGGAGCTCCCCAGTTCATCCCATAAGACCTCACTGCTGGGCTCCAGTGTGTGATTTAACATTGGGATGGTGTTGCTGATGCTTTGCTGTTGGCCCACAGGCAGGCTGCAAGTATGTGAGCGCAGTGCTGGGCAGCAGTGCCATAGCATAAGGTCCTTTATTTCAAGCTTTTTGAAAACATGCTTGAAATGCATTCCTTCATGCTGATCCTGGGAGTCTTCCATACCCTTAGCATTTGCCCTTTGGTGCCTGTACAGCTGCTCGCCCAGCCAGCAGCTGGGTTGCTCATCAACTCCCACAGCAGCTTTGTAGTATGCAACGGCTGTGGCAACAAAGCAGACCCAAGAATTATAGTGCTATTTTCTGCATTTTTTTATGTGTACCCATAATTTTATGAAGGGAAACAAGCCTGCCTGACTTACAATAGCAATTCTTTGGGCTGTTTTCACTTGTGTAATGGGCCATTCCAACACAATACCCCTCTTCAAGCCCCTGGGTATTTGCTTATTGAGTTTGATTTTCCCTCCAACAGATTTAACCAAAGCCTTTTTTTTGGCCTCAGCACCAAAACCCTCCCAGCACCCAGCCAGGGCAGTGTTGTCCCATCTTGGAAAGCCAAGGGCATTTATTCTTGGCACCTGAGCCAGGCTCACAAGGAACCACTACTGCCACCCCCCCAGCAGTGCCTTGTCACTGCTGACAGCAGGGATTTAGCAGTGTTGCTGCCTCCATTTTAGTTTCTAAAGCAAGCAGACATCCTTCCTTCCCTTTATCTTCTCGCTCTTCCCCAATAAATATCATAACTTCATCCTGCGAGACCTGAAAACCCATTTCTGAAACTCCTCTGGCAACTAATACAGTAAAACAAGCCTATAAATATAAATAATTATGATAAAAAGGCATAAAATGCCAGACTTGGGTCAAACACATCCACACAGTGACAATGGCAACAAATAACTACGCAGTGTCTGAATATAGATGGGAAAAGCTGAATACAGAGCAACTCGTTTGTTGCCCATCACTGTCAGACTCCTAATTCGGACAGGCCGTATTTTATTGATAGCAGAGCAAACACAGTCATAATCCGTCCCTACCTTTCCTGCTGTGTGAAAAATCCCATCCATCCCCAGGGAAGTGAGGATGGCAAACCCAGTGGTGTGAACGTGAGGTGGAAGCATAAGGCAGAAAGCGCAGTCCCAGCCTGTGTTTTTCACACATCATTATTGCTAAGTTCGATTTTCCAAAAGCTCTGTTTTATTTTTTTAAAGGTAACATCTTTATTTATTATTATTGTATTTATTAATTGTTGTTATTATTATGCAGAGATGAGACCTTTTTTCGTTTTTCCCCCTTTGATCACAGAGCAAACAGTTTGCTTTGAAAATGTTAATGGAAGTCCCGATTTAAAACATTTTTTTCTTCACTTTCTTTTTTTTTTTTTTTTTTTTTTTTTTTGCTTGTGTGTGTGTGTGTTTTTTATTTTGTTTTTTTTTTTTTAAAACGTTGCAACAGGCAAGATCTGGGGTTCAGTTTCCTCATCCTACACAAAGAAAGCTCCTGGAGTTCGGGCTCCTAGCCACTACCGTAGGTCCTGCCTTGCTCAGCTGTCGTCCTCTCAGTGTGGATTCACCGGGTGGGGTGGGAAGGTGGGTGGGAAGGGAGGAGCTGGAGGGAGGGAGGGTGTTTGTCAGCTATGTCGAGTCTTGGTTAACGACTTTGCCTCCGTTCATGGTTGGTGTCCCTGAACTTTTTCTAGAGCGTCCTTGTTTTTCTCCAATTTCATGCAGCGATGGCTCTCTGTACATGCACACTGCAAACAGAAATGACAACCCGTTAGCAGCCCTGAAGTCACAGCATCACTGACCACCATGAGCTATCTGTATGCGAGACTGAAGTCCTCACCCCAATACAACACAAATGCAGACACACAAAAGCCTCAGTGACCCACTGGAAGATCCTCTTGCCAAGCAAGATCTGCTATCTGCCTTTGCTGCTAGCCAGATCCTTCCAGAGGCCCAGACAGAAACAAGGGATTTCTGCTTCTCCATGGGTAAGTCAGTCTAGGCTTTCTATGCTTTACTATTTTTTAATATGTTATATACATAAAATAAGCATTCTAGTTCACAGCACCAGGCATTGTCTTGAGATGCTTTTATCATCCAATATCAGGTTTGAGGATTACCTGTTCCCCAGTCTTTAATCTCCGATGTGAAGATTCTGAGAGTCTTGAATCAAAGCCATGCTTGCCTCTGAGCCACCCAAACATTCTGGGTGTGAAGCTCTGGGTCCTGAAGTGGTGACTGAAGCCCATTTGGTGCCTTCAGCCAAAGCCTGAGGTCTGTTCTCAGCACTAGTTCTTCCCTATCAGTCAATAGCCAAGGCAAATGTTGGGGGCCCATGTGCAAGTGGCTGTCCTTGTGCCACTGAGGTGTGCCAGTGCTTGCCCTAAGCCAGCACACTTTGATGGCTTGAGGACAGCCCAGTGGGTAACACCAAAAGGAACAGCTCTGTGGAGCTCTTTGTAAATGTGGTGAGCTGTGGAAGGGATGGAAATACTGAGGTACTCCAAGGGCACATACTCTGAAGTTGAGAGCCTGAGACAGGTCCGGCCTTCAACTCTCCTACCTGCATTTTTGTAAAAATTAGGATGGAAAGAACTGATTATGCACTGCTTCCTATTGTAGAACCATAGGATGGACAGAGCCATCAGCTTTCACTTCTGAGTGCTCAAAAACAGGAAAATTTCAAAAATTATCTGAATAGATGAAACAAATACCCCTCATATAGGAAAATTTATATTTTAATATTAATAATGTTTATAACCTCCCTGATTTGCAAATACATTCTGGCAATTAGAGGCAGGCTACAAATGACATTATTGCTCTGCATTCTACTCCTCGCTTGACAAACAGTGATAGCAGTGTGCAACAATATAGGACAGAGATAAAGTGCAGTCAACTGTGTATTAATGGGAGGGATATCTCATTGAATATATGAACATTGAAAAAATATGACTTTTCTCATAGAGTCATAGAGTATCTTTCACACAAAGCTTTCAGAGCAGTTCAGACATACCCACAAACACACACTGGGCCTCACAATGCATCTGGAAGGCAGGGCCTGCACTGCAAACTGTCAATGCTGCATTGTTATTTGATGAACATGAGAAAAAAAAGAAAAACACTGGACAGAGAAAGCTTAAAGAACAACATGATGAAGGTTAGTAATGGAGGAAAACCTGTGCTCATGTTCCTGTGTGATCTCTTAGCCTGAGCTGCATGGTCTTTTGATGACCCTCGGGATGCACATCACTCCTGAGATGGGTCTCATTTTCTGATGTGATGCTCTCCCATCAGAAATGTGGGTTTGTGCTGCTGATGCACCTGTACTGTGCCAAGTTCTGCCCCAGTCCTAACTTCTTCAGCCTCAGGTCCAGGCTTGAGCCATAGGCATTTGCATGGGTCCTTCCCAAGCAGCTGTGTGCATTACAGTCAACCCCCAGCTTCCAGCCTCAGTATTGCAGCTGGGCAATGGGAGATGAATTCAATGCCCACAAGGACAAAGAAACGCAGAGAAATTCAAGGCACAGTCTAGGTTTTTGCATCATCACTGGCCACAGAGTCACGAATACAAATCAGGCTGCAGAAGTAAACACCATGCAACTGAAAATTAAGGAAACCCTGTACCTAGCAAGCAAATAAGGCAGGAATTAGAGGTTAATCCTCCACTCCAGCAGATGCTGTGAGCACTGACAGGGGGTAGGGCTGGAGGCTGCTCAGTATGCTTTTCACTCAGTGCTGTCAAAGCCTAAGTACGAGACAGGCTGTGCCAACAAACCATGCCAGAAAACCTACAGCAGCATGCGACCTGTGTATTTTCAGTATTTAGATACACCCATATCAGTGTGGTATGCAGAATTTGTACGGCACTAAATATTGCCTGGGTATTTGTACACGGATGTGTGTGCATGGGGTTGTAAGGACAGAGTGAGGCTGTGTGCACAGAGCACCAGGCAGCTTGGGAAGGATGAGCAATTTGGTGAGAACAGGATCTCCTCCTGCTTCTCCCACCCACCCCCACCCACACACCAAACCAAATACAGCCCTCCATGTCTGCAAACCCAGCGAATGCTTTGGAGCTTCAATCAGATAATCAGCTCCTGTGTTCCAGATTCTAATCAACGCATCCATATTCATGCTTTAATTGGGAAATGCCGTGAGCCTGATCCACTGTGTGGAATGGGGAGAGTGGGAGCGAGGCTGTGCCCTGCCTGGTACCTGCACCTCTTGATGCAGGCTGCTCTGCATGTATAAAGAATTCAGCAAGCAGGTAGGCAGGGAGAGGTCTAGGGAGGGCAAACAAGGGGGGGGGAGCATCCTCTCCAAAGACTGAAAGCAAGATGGGGCTGCTTTCACCCAGGGACAGGTGATCCTGTCTCCTGTGTGCTGATACAGGATTGATGGCTCACTGCTGCTTTCTGAGCACAGCATCAGCACACTGCCCTTGCAGGGAAGCTAAATGCACCCTGTGCTGTCTCCCTGGGCACAGGGACTAGCAGTGCTCAGGAAGCACATAATGTGTCCCAAACCCTGCATGCTTCACTTGGCATCGCTGCAACAGGAAGAGGTTTGGAGGTGCCTACGCGCTCCTCACCGCCTTTCTCTAGAATACAAGGAAAAGATTATTAAAGGGGCTTGGGTACATCCATGTAGATGGCTTTCCCTACCCTAGGTCTCAGGAGTTTGGAGGAGCTGAGATTTTTCTAAGCAGGAGGCAGGTCTGGGCACAGCTCCGAATGCCGCTGCAGCAGCGGCCACATTAGCTAATGCTCTGGTGGAGAGAATTAATTATCTGAGCAACAGCTAGGGGCAGGAGGCAGTGAGTGATTATGCGCTCTTGTTTTCTGCCTCTAATTACTGTGTTCCTACCCCAGGCCCAGCTGATGCATTTCAGAGCTGTCTGAGCTGGCGGCTGCCAGGCGGCTGGATGTGCAGGATGCTGCCAGATGGAGTCAGCATGTTCAGGTGGGAGCCAGTGCAGGATGACAAATGGCCAACAAAAGCATGGTTAAAATACAGCGCGTTTGCCATCTAATAAAATGATTAGCAGTTTGATAGATGAACAAATGAGTTAGTATAGGGCAGAGAACATACCAAAGCCTGTCTATCTGAAAGACAGGTACAAAAGAGGAGCTGTGTTTAACACAGATTGGTAGAGTGGTAGGCCAGTCATCAACATGTCTTGTTCTTAACAACTGACACATGTCCAAGGCCTAAGGGCTGAGGCACCAGGAGTCCAGAGTCAGGGGCAGCCCCAGCTGACTCAGAGGGAGGAAGAAGGGCCAGATGTGCCACACCATATACACTGGAGTTAGGACCAGTGAGAGCTCTTTTGGTAGAATAATCTGGAAATGATATCTTCAAGGAGAGGGAACTAAAAACAGCAGAGCTCATTCACAAAAATTATATGATAGAATTTTTACTTAAGGGACAGGAAGTCTCCCATTAGTTGAGATGGAAAAAACAAGAGGCACAATAGATGTTTGTCCAGTACTAATCAATGCAGACACTTAAGGAGACTGAAATTGCTGTAAAAGATAGCTTGGTGTCCAAGTGACAATTATACCCAAGCTAGTTTCTTGCGCAGTCTGGTTCAATCTATATGTCTGCACTTTAAAGGCTCATTTAGCCCAAATGATCAGCGATCAGAAATATCAAAAGAAGTGGGTTGCGTATGTGTGTTTTTAACCAAGAGTGGCCTCACACCGTACATTAACTGCTGACAGGCAGGCTGTTTGCCTTGGCTTTACCAGCACACAGATGGGAGAGGAACTGAACGTTTCCCATTATTACTCACTACGTTTTTTTTGTGCTTTTATATTGATTAAGCTTGGTGCGATTTTCAAAAACAAACAAGCACATCCTACCTCCACTAGGCCAAGCCTAACTCCTTGTGCAAAGCAAACGCAGAAACCCTTCCAGTGGCTTTGCACAGAACAACCCCAGCATCTGACAGCTTACAAGAGACAAAGCACTCTGCAGGATTAGCACAGCATAGAACTGTATATACGAATGCACACCCAGACAGAACTGTGTATGTGTATATATACATATATACACGTATATATAAAAGTTCCTTGGGAGGACATTTCATACTTATTCATTAGCTTACTGGCCATTTGCAATTCTGAGAAAAGAGCTTCTAAATTCAGAAAGCAGTATGAAGCAACAGGAGTCAATGCTACAGGAGCAATCTGGGCTTTTCTGTGATTCCTTTTCCTGCAAATGTTCCCTTCACTGAGCTGCTGCATAATTCTTCTGCACACAGCAATCAGCTGGGAAGTTTCAGCTCAGAGATAATTGCCATTGAAGTGGTGGGTGAAGTGATTCCTAGCACTGCATGCGACACTACTCCTTTCCACAGGACCCGAATCCTTTGTGCACACATCACCATGTCAGCACTGTGTCACAGTGTTAATGCTGGCGGTGGGACCTGAGCAAAAGCAAACCTGTGTACATACTGCAGATGGAAGCAGCACGGCACCAGCCTGAAAAAGCAGCCAAGCACACACACTGGGACATGCTGCGGTGCTCAGCAGAAGGGACATGCAAGTACAGCAGAAGAGTGCTTTCAATCGTTCTTTCTAGTCATGTCAAAGAGAAAGATGCTGTTAAACCAGGGCAGAAGTTGCCCCTTTTCTCTCACATCTCCACTTGCAAGCTCTGCTCGCGGAGACTTTGATGGATGCAGCACAGACAAGTCACATGGAGCTGAGCACGTTTTACTCCAGCCCTCTGCTACTGACAGTGAATCTTGGGCTTGGGAACAGAGCCCTCCGTCTGGAGCCATAGTCCCAGACAGCTGAACGCTTTGGGAAGCTGACACATGCCCGGGCTTGGGCGGCTGCCAGCTCTTTGATGCAGCAGAAGCCGCCTGCAAAGCGTGTGGAGGAGGGAAGGGGTGGAGGAGCCCTTCATTTGGCTGCCAACTTCCAAAGCGTTCACTCGCTCAGGAGGTTATGTGACAGCTGTGATTGAAGCGAGCGTGGGAGGAGGCAACTGCAGGAAAGGGAAGCTCTCGGGCTGGGTTTGCTTTTTCAAAATGAAAGCTGGAGCAGCACTTGCTGCAATGAGAACTCCGCTGCGGCCAGGCACCTCTGTTACGGTGAATCCTGCTGTGAGGATAGCCGCAGGAATGGCCTACTTTAACACATGCAGAAGACAACTACTGAGCCATTCAACAGACACCACACATGCTGCACTGGGGAAGAAATCTGGATTCCAAGGCTCTGCTCAGTGCCAACAGACAACCAGATAGCAAAGAGTTATCAGAAGGAGCTGGAAACCCAGCTGGGACAGCTAGCACCTGTAAAACCTCTTCCTAGCCAAGGCAGGACAGGAATGGAACCCAAGCTCCTGCTGAAGCAGGCCCTGGTCTTCTGCAGAAACCAAAGCTGAGGAAGGCTGCCCTGCTGCTGCCTCCAATTGGCTTCCAGCTGCAGAAAAGTCACTGAGAACAAGCACAGGAGAAGCACACCTGTGGCATTCTCTGTTTTTCTACCACCTCCATCTTCTGTGCAAAGGCTGCAAATACTTGTGAATGCAGAGCTGAATTTCTCTTGAATTTACTAGTAACAGAAAAGGGACAATTGCTTGTTTCCAAAATCAAGTTAGTACCTGATAAAGACTAAGCTCGTTACAGTACATCTCTTCATCTACCAGATGCCAGCCCATAAAAAATGCCATGGCATGAGCCCATGGCACACTTCAGCACTGTACTGTCAGTAAACGGGCAAAAATTCAACTTCCACTGAAGCCTCAGGCTGTGATAACATGCAGAGTTTTTTACGTGAGATGGAAAATGAATGAAATGCCATCAGTGCAGCCCAGCACTCCAAAGGTGCTCCCCAGCACCCAAATCCATGCAGCCCCAAATCTGCACCTGCCAGCTCACCCACCCTGCACACCACATGGATGGAAGGAGAGATTCCATACCTTCAATGGGTTTGGGTACAAAATGTGATGAGGGTTTGGTTTTTTTCACCCGGTTTCCCTTCATAATTTGACCTTCTTTATTGAGTCCCAGGAACCACGCTCGTCCGGATTCTTGCTGCCGATACAGCGTGGAAGAATAAATAACGTAGTAGTTTTCAAAGACAGATTCCTTAAATTTGCACTCTGGTGTGAAAACATCCTGCAGTGAAAGAGAGAAAGAGACAGAGAGAGAAGAAAAAGCGGTGAAAAGATTAATCACTGATTTCCTGGATTAGGCATCACTGAGTGATACACCACAGTCACGCATTGCAGTCAGTTTAACAATAGAAAACAACAGGCATCAGCAACAGTACTCATCCAGAAAAGTCCCCACTGAAAAAGAAGGCTTTGTTTCCCTGACAGGGCAGAGGTGTGGTTTACAAAACCACCCACAGTGAACAGGCTTGAAAAATGTGCAGAAGTCAAGAATTTGTGTCCCAGCAAACTCTCAAACCCGGCCAGAGCAATGCCCTTGTTTGTGTGACTTACTGTGAAGTGTGTATGCTCTCCCAGGTCTCATCTATAAGGACTTGGGACTGAAGTACTACGCAAAAAAAAGCCCACTGAGCTGGGAAGCAAAGAAACAGCCTTGCTGCTCACTGCTGCTTCCAGGGCATCCCTCTGGTTTTGCTTTTGCCTTCTGTATGATGGGCAAGAAATGTGCAACGTGCAGTGCCTAAAACACTGAGATTCTATAAATACTTCCAGGCAAAAGGCAGCTTGTCAGGATCAGGTAAGTGGATATGGAGAAATGGGAGTACAAAAATCAAGTAACAAACTTGTTTTCAAAAAAGGCAGGAGGAAATGCTGGCACAAAGCTTGAAAATCTTTTGATAAAGATGTAAATTCAGACACAGAGAACTGGTCTGGTACCTTGCTATGTCCTGCAAACTTCTCAAGGTTTTTACAACAGGGAAATAACATTAAGCCTCTTCGAAAAGAGCTGGCTGCTCATGGGACTCTGCCAGCAGCTTCCAACTCTTCACTGAGACGGACATCGGTTACTGGTCTGAGGTGCGTTCTTTTTCCCAGACTTAAATGAAAATTCATCCTAGTGAAGTAAATGCTCCCATTGGGTTTCTTAAAATGATGATATTCTTTGCAAGAAAAAGAAACCAAACGCACACAACCAACCAAATAAACAAATAAAGAAAGCCAAAATTACACAAAAGCCCCTCAAGCTTTTCTAAAGCTAGTATATATCATCTTGCACAACCCAGGGAAAGCATCTTGGAGGCCCATGATGAAGGCAGTGCTGCTCCAGGACAACAATGCTCCCTCCCAGGCCACCGCCACTCAGAGTTCTTAGGGAGCTTCTCTATCCTCCCCAATAGAAAACCCATGACCAACATCCAAGCAAAGCATCTGGAGTAATGCCACACATTTACTGCAGACCTCATTTTAAGAGTGAACATTTTGAACATTCAGCAACATTCAGGCATGTATTCCCCAGTGCTCCGGGGGTTATATAAAGTGTTGTTGGCCTGACAATAAATCCGGTGTTCAGCAGACCTGCAGAGCCGGGCAGGCTTGAAACCACCAAAGATAAAGCAGAGTAGAAAGCACAGAGCTGCGCTGCATTCGTGAAGCTTGCATCAATCAGCACCATGTGCATAAAAACACTTTCAGCCCATTGAGTTGTTTTGCCTTATCTAAGGGAGTTTTCCTTGCTGGAGAAATATTTTAGGAAGAGAGAGTGAAACAAGTTGAGAGAGATCTGGATGACTTAGAGCACTATAACACAGTGCTTAAAGTAGTTTTCCAGAAGATCATCTTTTAAGCACCCCTCAAATCTGCTCTTTATCTGCAGGCTGTGCCTGGCTGCAGAAGATGTGCTAACCTGGAGCCAATGCCCAGCCCATATGGCTTTCAGCTGGGCCAGCCAGGCAGCAAACCCCACAATGCATGGGAGCGTCCCTGCAATCAGGTTGGGCACTCAGCCCCTTTACCACATCCTGGCTGCCCCACCAGTATAAATGTTTTAACAAAATTCTCCTTATCTGAACTGGAAAGTTTTTACTTGGGGAAAGGCAACCACTGACTTCCCCAGAATGTGGAATTTGCCAAGCACAGGAGTTGCACTAGGCAACTTTTAAAGAGTTCCTTCCAACTCAAATGACCTATGATTCTATGGTATGTTTGGATTTTCAATGCTTGTTTTAATTTCAACGTGGAACAAGGACGTTTTTTTGTTCTCAATGAAGCAGAAATATAGAAACTACTGCATATTGAAATTGTGATTATAGAAAGAAAAAGATATCTAGATTTTTAAATAAAAGTGATTTAAGATCAAGTGTTCATGTAAACATCTCTTTTAAAATTATCATTATATAATATTATTTTCTGTCATACAGCTCATGAAACCACTTCATACCACATATCGACTTAGAATCAGAGAATCACAGAATCATGAAGGTTGGAAAAGACCTCTGAGATCATCCAGTTCAGCCATCCACTACCACCAATACTGCCCAAAGCCCACGTCCCTCAGTGCCGCACCTCCATGGTTTTTGAACACCTCTAGGGATGGTGACCCCACCACCTCCTTGGGCAGCCTGTGCCAGTGCACCATCACTCTTACAGAGAAGAAATTTTTCTTAATATCCAACCTGAACCTCCCCTGGCACAACTTGAAGCCATTCCTTCTTGACATATCGCCATTAATGTACCACTGAAGAAGCAAAATTATGTTATCTGTGAAGTGGACATTTTTAATGAAGACATAAAAACTAAAGCAGAAATAGTGATTTTCATCATACGTTTAATCTCCCCTGAAATTACTCAAGCAAATAAACCTTTCTGATTGTTTCTGTGATTTGGCTGGTTGCTTCTTCACCCCCTATAAATTAGCTGAAATATGGCAACACCATCAAAACACAGTTCTCTCCATTAGGTAGGTTTAAGAAAACCCAGCAGAGTTCTAGTTGTATTCACTATTATTATTTTTCTTATTACATACAACACCCCATTATCAACACTGTGCCACACAGAGACAAACACACACTATGGGGCAATTCCTTGTACTTATTGACAACCCCTATGGTTCACAGAAAAGAGATGGGGCAGACAAGCAGCATTCAGGGCACTCTGCCAAGGTGATAGCACATGCATCCTTATGTTTTTCTTCATTGATACCTCCTTGGTGGCCAATGTCTAGCCTCCAAAGTTTACAAGGCATGGCTATGTCATGTCACTTGGTTCCTGCCCATATCTCTTACTTTGTGCCTCCCCATAATGAAAGCATCTCAGGATATTAATGACAGAACCTATCTACAAGCTTTACTGTCAAAATTAATTGTGGCAATTATGTCAAATCAGGTGGGAACTGCTGGTTCAGTTATCTTGAGCTGAGAAGAGCTTGGAAGAAAGCAGAGTGTAGGTGAATAGGACAGACTTCACACTAACAGTTCTGAGCAAGAGCCACTGCATGGGTTGAAATCAGAGATAACTAAAGGTCATTTGGGAAAACCACTGAACTATTGTCCAGATCTTTATGTTTGTTTTGGTTTTTAAAATTATTTCAGTGTTAATTAAATGTGCTAGATGGGGAGTCCCATCTAGCAAAGGGTAAAAGCAGCAAAGGGACCCTCAGACTGTCCCCCTACAACCTCCTCCAGAAATAACGGTACAGTATTCTTGACTATACCATTAGTCAAGTGTAGGTATAGGTATAGTAGTAGAGTATAGTATATACAATAGTATAGGTATAGTATTCTTGACTAAATTACTTTTAGGGTAGAAAGTAAATAAATACATTTATTTTTTCACTGTTTGGAGATTATGGGTCTGAGACATTTTGTTAAATATCAACAGATGCTGCTGGAAGTGATTTGCAAAAGCAGACCTTTTTTCTTTTTTTTTTTTTTTTAATTGTTAAGCTAAAAACTTGCATGAAATATTTGCACAAGAAATGTTAACAATTTACATGCAAAATGAATAGCATTTCCCTGCAACTTGCTTTCTGTATCTCAAACACTTGTACAAGAGGCAATTCCACTAAGACAGAGTAATTAGACTTGCTTTGAAAAACAAACACAGACCTCATTTGTGCTAACAGTAGCTTGATTGGAAATTTCACAGTTTAGGAAAAAAGTAAAATGGCATCTATCACATACAAAATTAGGGAGACCACATTCAATGACACTTTGAAACACAGAAAGTAGCTGAATGGATGTAACTGGCATTTTGATTTTTGTTCTTAGTGCAGCAGACATGCTCAGAGAGGGTGTAAGGTACCATGATTTACCCCAACAGCTATTCCTGTTTTAGAAAAATACAATGTTTAATTTATCTTTGACCCCACCAGTGTCTCCTGCCATCTGCAGATGGAAATGTGGACTTCCAGGCATAAACCCTGTAGGAAGCAGAGAGTATTCTGGGAATGCACAGCTCTGCTTGGATATCTCAGCTCCTTCAAAATATGTCATCCCAATGGTGTCACAGTCCTGGTACTGCTCCAATGAAGCAGCAACTCTTTTTTTTTTTATTTATTTATTTTTTTTTTCCCCCTGAATATCTCCTTTTATTATAACCCAGAATATAATAGAAAATATACACATTCACATGCAAACCCAATGACTTAATAAATTTAGTTAGCGAAACAAGCAGCAATAAAAGAAAAAGCCCATTCTGCAAGTAGTTTGTGCTACAGTTTAGGAAGAGAATGTTAATTATGAGTGCAGAATTACCTAACCAACACACTCCCAGAGTAACAGTTTCCCTTTTTTACAGCACTCACGGGTTTCTTTTTTATGTTCCGCACAATTACTGAGCCAGATCTTCAGATGGGATAAAAGCCCTTAACTGCACCAAAACCTACATATGGCAAAGATTTCCTCCTAGAGAATATGACTCAGGATGTTTACTGATGTTAGTGTTTAGATTTGAGAGTTCGAAGTCCATCAAAGTCAATTAAAATATATTTTGCTCTGTACACCTCCATGAAAGGAGGTTATAGGGAAGTGAGGGCTGGCCTATTCTCCAAGAGGAGCTGATGGCCTTATGTTGTGCCAGGGTAAGTTCAGGTTGGATATTAGGAAAAAATTCTCCAAAAGAGTGGCGATGCACTGGCACAGGCTGCCCAGAGACGTGGTGGAATCTCTGTCCTTGGGGGTGTTCAAGAAATATGGGGATGTGTACTTAGGGACTTGGTTTAATGGG